ATTTTTCTTTTCACATTTTTAATGATAGAAAACAAGGCATGCCATGCTTTTATGTCCGTCAGCACTGGCACAGATGCCACCTTGGCAGTCACTACCACAGCCAACTTTAAGAGAATGAGAGTTTATGAATCAGGTCCGAGAATAAGATGCTTGAGGCTTTGCTCTGTTTTTTTTTAGATATTTTACTTTCTGTTATTTGTTGATTTGGGGGGATTTTTTTGTTTGTGTATTTGTTTGTTGTTTTGGTAAGTTAGGACTATAGAATATGGTGGCTACCAGTAATTAATAGAAGTTAGTGAACTTAATCAATGTTTAGGGCCCTGCTTAAGGAGATTCTAATTTATCCATATAAAAATAAATAACAGACTACATGGCTAGGGCTAGTAAACTTAAAAGTAATTTTCTTAAATATAAAAATCTGAGCTTACAGATTTATATCTTGGTAATATCAAATACATCATGTACACCCAGTAAGAACACCTGTTTCTCTCCAAGTAGCCCTGAATACATGTTGCAGTTGTAATCTATTTTAAGTATCATGGGTTTTATGAATAGGCACCAATTTTGTTGTACTTCCAAGTGTGTTTCGGGAGTTCAGGGGTTGATAAATTTTATTTTCTTAGCGTTCATTTCTATTACATTAAAACATTCTGAATCATGTTTTTCACATAATGGTTCCTTGATTTGTAGGCTGAGCAAGCTGCCAAGGTTGAAAAAATGCGTCAGAGCATTTTAGAGGGGTTAAACTTCTCCCGTCAGAACCACCCACTTCCTTTCCCACCACCTCCTGCTCTGCCTTTCTACCCAGCTTCCATGTATCCTCGGCACTTTGGGCCTGTCCCGCCATCTCAGGGCAGGGGCAGAGGATTTGCAGGTATGTGTGTCAGTAATTATAGTGATATATCCATGTGGGGAAAAGGAATGCTTAAAAATAGCATGTAGTACTTTTTACTTGAGTTAAATCATGAGATTTTATAATGATCATTCTTGATTATAAAAAGTTTCTAACAGCAAAATTTTCAAACTAGAAAGGATCCGATGAATTCTTTGAAGAGAATGTGGGAGAGGGAGAGAGATGGGTCTATAAAAGCTGTTGCAGAGGCTAGATTTGAAAATTTGTCAATATAGCTGAAAATATCTCCGCTTGAATTATATATGTGTGTGTAACATATATATATATATATATCAACACACACAGGAAAAATACAGCCATCAACGCCAAAGAAACCCTCTTTTATTAGTCATCTTCCTGGGCCCGTCACTGAACATGCAGTGTTAGCCCCTATTCCATTGGCCTCATGCAGAAAAGACCATTCCCTGGATGGGGGCGCGGCCCTTCAGGATTGGTCTCGTTGAAACTATTGATGCAGGTGTGTGCAGCATGGGAACGAGAAGGCTAGCAACTCCACTCTTTTTGGCATTATTATGTAGAAGTAACAGCTGGAAGGAAAGAGGTCACATATGTAAAACTGACAGTGACTGCCTCCTCAGGAGAAATGAATCCCCTGTACCCAGCCCCCTCATGGCTTCTCCCCTGTCTTTCTCCCCTGGGTTTAACAGGAGTCTGTGGCTTTGGAGGCCCTTACGGGGAAACTGTAGCAACAGGCGCTTACCGTGCCTTCCGGGTGGCGGCAGCAACGGGACATTCCGGAGCCTTCTCGGGCAATGAGAGCAGCAGGACTAGCAAGTTACAGGGCGGTAATTATACCCTAAACTTTTCCTAGAGCTTCTGCTGCCAACAGCTTCTTTCACTCCATAAGATGGCCCCCGACTGACTTCCCATTTCTTTTCTTCTGTAACTGTCTTTACAAACGGTGTTCTCCAGTAAAATATTCTTTCTTCTAGGTCCCTGCTGTGGCATTCATTGACTGCTTATTCTCCTAACTCTGTCTGCCCTCAGGTCTCTGCAGCAGCTTTGCTGTGTCCAATCTCTGCCTTTCAGTGTAGACCAATGAGTGTCCACATAGAAAAGAGCCTTTCTGTGGACTTAGGTAACTCAACCATTGGCTCATGTTAATAGAATGAGTTGCTGAATAATAGTCAGTAACGTTTCTTTCCTACTATATTCCTTAATAGCCATTTTTGGGTAAAGATTATTATGATTATGTAGAAGATTTTAATGCCATAGAAAAGTTGTTGGCATAAAAAATTTATTTTAGACATATGTTCCATAGAAATATCTTAAAAGGAAAGATCAAATTTTAGAAATATAAATGATTTTATTTTAAATTGTCATTGATTCTCTTATTTGCAATATATTCAAAAAGGGAAACAAAACTCTTGCCACTTAACTTTTAAAATAATGTCTTTGGCTCTCCTTCAATTGAAGTCTTTAACATCTAGCTTTATCATACATTTTTAAATGCAAATCAAAAATGAATCATCAAGGCCCAGAGGACTTGGATTATTTAAATAAAATTTAAAATAACTTTTAAGATAGGCAAGCCCAAGTTTTTTGGCCCAAAGTGTTTTTAAACTACGTGGCATAGTAACTTAATGAGAGAACTGGAGTCATCTCTTTAGAAATAAAGTTCTAAAGTATTTAGTGATAGTCATCTCTCTGTAGGTGCTCGAGGTTATTTCTCTGTGCCTTTGCAAGTGCATGTCCATTTCTTGCCTGTGTGTCCTAGCTAGCGTACTACTGGGGGCCTTTCTGATTAGGCGTAGAGCAACTTATAGCCATGTGTATTATTTGCTTCATATGGTTTCAATCATTGCCTTGAAACTAACACTTGCTTGTAGTTGGAATAAAAGACCAGTGGAGGGGAGGTCATTTTAGTATGGATAGTTTGAAAAGACATTCTTTCTTAGACTGAAAATGACTAGAGAAATGAACTTTCTGACTTTCATAAAATTGTTTCTGAATTTCAAATCTGTGCTATTTAATATAGTAGCCAACAGCCATATGTGACCATTGAAAACTT